TATATGCTAATAGGCTCAAACAATTCTTAGTGAAATATAATCATGTGGAATAGGTGTTCATTCTTGGCCACCAGGTTATAGACCAGATACATATGGAAATCGATCTTATCTCTCTGTTTCATTCCAGTTGGCACAAGGGGCCAGGCAGGGATTGTTATTGTCACTGGACCTGCACAAGGCCTTTGACTCCCTGTTTCGGACTTTATTATTTCATATCTTGCAGAAATGGAACTTTGGGTCTAGGTTCCTCATGCTCCTTGGCATTCTGTATTGGAACCCCACTGCTAATGTTGTTGCATACGTTCATAAGTCAGACTTAATATATATATGGACGGGCACTAGGCAAGGATGCCTTTTTTCGCCATTACTATTTGTTATTGTCATAGAAATGCTGGCCAAAGCTATCAGAGCCAACCCAATATTCATGGCAACTCTAGCAGTGGAATAAATTCACTCTATTTTCTGATGATCTGTTACTATTTATTACAAATCCGACAATGAATTGGCCCAATCTACTCAAGACCTTGCCTAGCTTTGGTGCCATCTTGGATTTGAAGGTGAATCAAACTGAATCCTAAGCACTAGATGTTAACCTCCCTGCATCAAGCCTGGTCTCCTTAAGTGGGCCTTCATTTTCAAATTGTGCACACACTCACTCTCTTATCTTAATGTAAAACTCACCCCAGAAGTTTCAACACTGTACCGGGTCAATTACACTCCCCCTCTACTCCTTTATACAGTTTGAGCTAAAAAAAACTGTCATAAATGCACGCTTTCTTGGATGGGTAAAGATGACTGTTCTTCCCAAAATATTGTATTACTTTCATTCACTGGTACTGTCTTCATATATGGGGAGATTCCAATCGATGATCTTTAAATTTATTCGGAGCTTGGGAAGCTGTAAGGTCGCCAGTTCTACAATGTATGTCTCCAAGTCACAGGGTGGACTGGGAGTCCCCATCTTTTACAATACTACAGGACTGCCCAACTAGTCCAACTCTATCAAATTTTATCCACAACCCAGAGATCTAGAGGCACAAGCAGGCACCCCATATCCAATTGATCTCCTTTTATGGCTTTCCCCAAAGACTGTAGCACCATCCTAAGCCCCACACTATCACACTTCCTGCATCTCTGGGATGCAGTCTGCAAACTTTATCCCCTCAAATCCCCTCATACACCCATGGCCCCTTCAATAATTCACGCCTTCCCCCCCAGTTAATCTCCCAAACATTTCAACCGGTGGATCAATAAAGATCTTTAGAGGATAGCACACTTTATAGACCATAAAGAAGTTAAACCTCCAATGTATTTTTTTCAAAATATGGAGATGCCTCCCTTGGAAATATTTCATTTTCTCCAAAATACTCACTTTCTTCATACTCTCAAATGAGAAATAGATGACATATCTTCGAAAACCTTTTATGAGAATAGATGTCTATGATGTCCTGGAACAAGTGGAGGCATCTCTGAATTAAACTCTCTATTTTCTGGCCCCACTAGCAAACTTTAATTTTAGGTAGCCTGGGAAGTTGAATTAGGGGAGGTGATAGAGGAGGAGGAGTGGGCACATTGGTCTGCTATGGTGTGCAATGGAATTCTTAACACTTCACTTGTTGAAGCGATTTACAAGGTACTCTCTCACTGGTACCTAGTCCCAGCAAGACTCCCCAAAATCTATCCTAGTGCCCCCCTCATGCTATCGGGGGTATAGATGGGAGGGTACCATGTACCATGATAGGTGGTCCTGCCTGAGGGTCCAGCAATTCTGGATCAGAATTTTTTTATCTAATCTACTCAGTGACTGGAGTGAATATAACAAAAAATGCTAAGACAGCACATTTCAATAATCTGTTGGACGAGATACCCAGGCATCTTTACGCCCTATATAGTATTCTGTGGGACAAACAGGACAGATTTGAAAGTCTGGAACCCATGGATTAGGTATCTTTAGTCACCTAACTAAAATGAGGTGCCCCATTGGTCGTAATGACTAGGTCGTGTGGATCCCTTCTTTTCTCTTGTTTGTTCATCCATTTATTCTCTTTTCTTCTCCTGACTTATGGTGTAATTTTTTGTGTTGCATTATGTGCAGGTTATGTTGCCCACATCTAACTGGGCTGAATTGAATATTGCACATGGTCATGGCATCTTAATCTTATTCAAATTACGTTATATTCCCTGTTACCCTAGTCTACCTCTCACCTCATTTTGGGATGAGAGGCCTATTGTTGGTACATTTCTTGGATATTATGACAATGTGTCCATATATCAGATCTGACTGTCTGATTTCTATATTCTTTTTGATAGGTGACATTTGTGCATAGGCTGTGCCCTATCCATCATCTTTGTCTGCTCTGCTGATGATTCCTGTGTGCACATTGTTAACCATTTACTCTGACTTTGGCTTTTACTGTACTATTTGCAACTGCACTGACAAATTGATAATCTCGCACATGTTCTTGTATTTGTATAGATCATATTGAAACAGAAGAAAAAATGTTTTACTACAAATCGATATTTTTCATTAAGCTGACCATTTTGCATAGATTTTTAAAAAATATTGAAATAAATAAATACACTATAGTTTCCCCAAGGTCATATTTCAGCATTATGTTTAAAAGTAATTGCATGGCTGTTAAACTAGAGAAGACATTGTGCTGTCACCAGATTTTATTTCAGATTCCCAAAAAACATTTTTTGCCCTGACAATTACTGTGGAAAATAAAGTATGGACTGTCAGCCATACTTTGGATCTTTACTATTTTTTTACAAACTGTCAGATGTTCCTCCAAGGGCCTTATCAGGGTCCATCATGCACCTGAGCAGCCTTAAAAAAAATCTGTCACATCAGACTAGGGGTCCTGCACTCCAATTGCTGGATCCAAGAATTAGGTACAACATCCAAACACAAGCAATCTAACTTGATATACAGTATACTGCATAATGTAGTGTAGTGAGGAATTCAAAGACCTTTACACTAGGGCAACAAAAATCCCTCTCAACAAAGAAATGGTCCAACAAAGGATGGCAAATGGCACAGGTTAAGACTTAGCATTATTCCTACATCTTACGGAAAAGGGACATGTTTTCAGGGACAGTGAGGTGCACATTTTAGACAGAGGACAACTGGTTTGCAAAAAGTGTTATGAAAGGTTTTCTATGTTAAACTGGAACAACCATCCCTGAACATGGCGTAGGGGCCTGTGACACTTTACTAAAAGAGAAGAGTGCAAAATCTAGTGCAACTCTGCATAGAAAGCAGTCAGATTCCATGTTTTATTGCCAAAGCTTAATTGAACAAGTTGAAGTTAGAAGCCGATGAATAAGCTCATAGGGGTGCGTGAAACTCGATGGGGGGGGGGGGGTTTCCTGGTGGAAGCCCAGGCTGAGACTGCAATTCATTCCAGCGGGTCCGCATAGATGTGCGGCTTTATGGTATCCATCCTTTGCTTAACAGTTGCTTGGAGCTAAGACAAGCTCCTTCCCTGACCTGCACTCATGGTAGCCTGAGAGACACACATTTTCCATTACCAGTTCACAGTGAAGTTAGAAGCTGACTGGCTATCATGCACAGCTGTACCACTTTTAGTAAATCTGTCCCTTTCTGTCTTCCAATATAATGCCATTTTAGCATCCACCTTGCTAACATGACAACAACTCATATTTCATACACACACTAAATCTAATGATTATCACTTATGCAGACTTTATAACACGATGGGATTATGCAGCTGGAACAGTGTGGTCCCACAACTTTCAAACCAGCCCATTCTGTTTTTTAATTTTCCCATTTCCCATTCTGTTTTTTTTAATCAACATGTACACATTTTCTGGTGATTAGATTAAGTCTGTTCTACCTACCTGTATGTGGATATAAATGTTGAGGTATCTTCCTAACACTCACTAGAGTGAAATACCTTCAAAATGACACAACAAATCTAGTTGGATGTGATCAACTATGACTAAATACTACTTCTATCTACTATATACTATGACCTGGATAAATAGGAACCTTCATATCCATTGTTTCCCCTTACTATACATATCTGGGACCTTGTGAGGGAAATTGTGAGGGAAACATGAGGGGAAGTCTATCCAAGGAAGCATACAGTATAACAGAAATGGTATAAAAAAAACTGTCATAAACTCTAACCCTTATTTAAAAGTTAAAAATTGTCCATTGGTGGGCTTTAAATAATAAGGGAGTTATGTAATTTCAGCTTGAGAAACAAATTAAAGGAACAATATTTTCTACTACAACTCCAATCTAACATAAATACAGTATCTGTATAACAAAGAGGTTCATGTTGTTTAGTAGCTTATCATAGTTAACAAAAGTTGATGCCTCAACTGTGAAAGAACCAAATTAACAATACACAAAAGAGCATTGTGTTGTATAGTAACTATAGAATCAGGATTCAACAAAAGCCTATTTGTGATATCTGTTTTGGAGGAAAAGGGTAAATATTCTGTGCACCAGATTTTTACAACAAAAATGTAGATTATTACACTAGGTGCCAATGTCATATTTATTATGAAATCACTGAAAATAAAATAAACTTTGTAAGGAAAGTAGAACTTAAACACGTCAGTCATTTACCTTAATATCAGACACTTGTGTCACACTGAGAGACAGCAATATAAAAATCTATATCTCTGCGCATACAAAAATCAATACACCTGTTCACATATTTCTGTCTTTTTATAAATTATGTTTAACCATAAACTTACTGTAAAGTTTTTAATTTGATCGAAGGTTTTAACAATTGGATACTCAGTAACTTGGAGCTCAGGTATCAGAATATGTTTGAATTTTTAACTCTAACTAGTTTTCCTTTTTATTTTTGGGTGGAGTATCTTTATAATTGCATTATACTGTATGCTCTTTGTTAGTTAAAGATACTGTAGGTGGTTCCTTCTGAAAAGACATCTGTGGACAACAAAAGTTTTTGGTTCTCTTAGACCCCTGGTGCTCAGCCTGTGGCCTTGGGGCTACATGTGGCCCTTTGGCACTTTTTTGGTGCCTTTGGAGCCCCTCTATTCCCCTATTGCTCTGTTGTATCAATGATTACTAGCAGTCTTATGTGATACAGTATGCCTCCAGTCTTTGACCATCTCTTGAAGCAGGTCCCTAGTTTCCAACAACTGCTACAACATGTCCACCATCTCTGAAAGACTCCTGCAGCATGTCTACAGTCTCTGACCATCTCCTGTAGTATGTCTGCAGTGTCTGACCATCTCCTGTAGTACATCCACAGTCTCTGACATCTCCTGCTATATGTCTGTGGGCCCTACCCATCTCTTGTATCACGCCCATAGTTTTTTACTATATCCTCATGTGTGTCTGAAGTCTCTGACCATCTCTTGTATCATGTCTGCAGTCTCTGATTATCTCCTGTATTATGTCCAGTCTCTTGTATCATGCCTACAGTCTTTACTCTATCCTGACATGTTTCTGCTGTTTCTGAAATCGAATAGTCACTGAATTTTGTGTGCAGTCCTTTGGTGATGTCATGGGGTGCACATGAAACCCCCCATATCAAAAAAGCTGACCACTACTATCTTAGACTATTCTTTTTTTTTTATATATTTTTATTTTCCTAAATATGTGTTATCTTTCCCTCTGGAATGTTCACATAGTATGTTGAAAACTCACCCCTGTCAATCTTTATACTGCCAGTACTTCAACAAGCTTATTGTTACTGAAACCTAGCTTCATCTCTGATTCTGTATCTCCAGATTGTCTCTGCCACAGTGTCCTCCACTGCAGCCACTCACCCAGACCCAGTAGATGAAGTGGAGGTAGAGTTGGACTAATCCTTCACCACTTAGCACTTTTCATGTTCTTCACACACCCTCCCTGTCTCTCTCTCATCTTTTGAACCCCACTGTATTTCTTTTTTTTTTCTTCACTGATATCTCTGAGGATTGCAGTGATTTATTGGCCTCCTGGACATGCGTCCTGCTTCCTTGATGACTTGTCTACCTGGCTACCCTACTTGCTCATCCTCATGCTTGGTGACACCCGCACTACCTCTATGCTACTCCACCTAACCTTTTATTTAACTTAGCAAAATGTCAATACCAGGATTCGGGATGTCCCTTTAAGACTGAGCAAAACTTACCTAAACAGCTCTCACCTGGGTTAACGATGGGGATTGGCCAGCTCATTACTGCTCACATTTAAATGATGATCTGCTCATGGCATGTGTGCATGTGTGCCATGAGCCAGACATTATAATGAGCCCACAATTAAAGGGAAAAGTAACCTAATGGATTCTGCACAAGCTCAGTTGTTTGCCCAATAAATTTGCCATTTATCCTGACAAGTTTAGGAACTGGATACCCATCTGATTATGGTGCAGTCTCCTAATGCTCCCACTACTACAAATACTCTGCCCCCTGAGCTAAAGATTCCTTTTCCAGATCATTTTTTCTTGTGACCAAAGAGGGTTCTGTAACTTTACAAGCAGCTGAAAAGTATAAAACTATATGCTTTAAGTTAAATCCATCCTTGTCTAACTCTGAAACACAAAGCCTTTAGCCTGGAACCAAACAATTTGGCCCTGCAAACAATATGTACCTTTTTTGAAGCACTTGGGTTGCCATGTGTAGCAAGATCGTGCTGCTACTGTCAAATCAGCCCTGCATAGCTTACAGTAAACTGAGATGTACTGTTCAGAGTTTTACAGGTTGACCCCGGAATCTGGATGGAATAAAGTGCCACTCCTCAGCAAGTTCTGAATAGGCAAATCCAAGGCAATTAACCACTTTAATACTGGACACTTTTAGCCCCTTTCTGTCCATGCCAATTTTTTTTATCCTGTTTTGAAACAGAGCTTGCTTTTATTTTTTTACATATAAATTTTAAAATACTGAAAAATGTGAAACAAAATCCAATAATTTGCCTCGGTTATAAAATTTTGTAAATACATAATCTTTCCTCATAAATTTAGACCTAAATGTATTCTGCTACATTTATTTGGTAACAAAAAAACCCAAATCAGTGTATATTATTATAGTATATTATTATACTATATATACAGTATAGCCTACAAACTATGGTATATATATTTGAAAATTGATCAATCCTGATGTACTGACTGTCTGTCTAATCTCCCGAGGCCTAAAATGCCAGAACAGTACAAATACCCCCCAAATTACACCTTTTTGGAAAGTAGATGGCCTGAGGTATTTGGTAAGAGGCACTGAGAGTTTTCTGAAGTTGTCATTTTTTGTCACAATTTTTTGGAAAATGAAGAAATTAAATACATGGGGGTTTTTTCCACATTTTTTATACATACTGTTACCAGAGAAGTACAGGTTCATCATATGGCTGGTGTGGCAGTGATCAGAGATACTGACTGATGACAGCATGTTAAAAAAAACCTAAACTTTTTTTTTTCCATATTTTAACATTTTTTTTTTCTTTTTGTTACACTTTTGTTTCTTTTTTTTACCATTTTTTTTTTTTAATACTTTGACCAGGGCAGTGCAGTGTTACCATAGTGACACCGTACTACTGTGAGGAAGTGATCAGGATTTTTTTTCTTTTAATTATCACTATTATACGCAATCAATTCTTCCATTCATTCATAGCCATACATTGTGTACTATTGTGATAGCTGTAATTGGCAACCTCTATTGTATGGTACAGATGCACTGCAATTGGCCCTGTTAGCAAAATGTGATTACTGTGGCAAATCACAGAGATTATCACAGCAGTACACAATGAAAGGCTGTGAATGAAAGACATTCATTGTGTACAACTGTTATGTGATCATATGGTGCCAGGGCTGGCCTGGTACAATGATCTGTCATCCATTGTGACAAATGAACACAGCAGGTGACAGATCATGCTACAGCATGGCCCCTATGGCATGTGGCTCGGAGGACATCATATGACATCCAGAACTGTAGTGCTCCCCTTTGCAGTCATTTTTATATAGCTTAGAGTAGTTAGACTTTGGTTAACGACCCCTACCCAGTCTGACTGGAGGAGGCTATGACACTGGACATCAGATTTGACCACTGCCAAGGAGGAGACAAAAATTTATGACAGCCAAGAACAAACCTGTGCCTTCCTTGCCACCCAATTCCTTCACCTCCAACAATCAGGAGCGGACTGACCATTTGGAAACTCAGGCACTGCCCGAGGGCCCGGGGTCAGTAGAGGGCCCCATGAGATGCCCCTGGTACCTTTTTAATAGTCTTTTTTGAGTTTGGGCAAGGACACAGGGGCCCCATGATCCCCTATTGCCCAGGGGCCCCATGAGTTGTCAGTCCGCCCCTGCCTCCACTACCATGTTTGAGGAGAAACCTGTGAAGCTAGGTTCTCAGGAATGCACACACCATTGTAACATGGGACTTTATATTGTTTATATTGTGGCCTTAAAGGTCATATGCTTTATTTTTGCCCCCCACACAGCTGGGAAACTCTAGTACTTATGAGATTGCAAGGAGATCACCCTAGTTCTACTTTCATCTCCTGAAAAGGACAATCATTTAATGATCTCTGCTATTAAGCACTATGGAACTGGGTCTCATAAATTAGCCTTTTTTAGATTCAGGAGCTGCTGAAAAGGAGATTATTGCTTTAAACTGCTGTGTCCACCTGATTTCTGTGGGTAATTAGCCACTAACCCTTCCCAGTTAAAATTGAGAGCTCTGCATTGGGAGAACATTTCTTGTCTTGTTATTATATTGTCTTGTCTTATTATTGGCCTTCCTTGGCTTCAGGGTCTCAATCAAGTAATTGATTTTTAGCTTGGTCTGATCAGTGTGTACAAACCTGCATTCAATGTGCTGTTTGGATTGCTGCCTGCCAAGAACAGATTTTTCCTTGTTAAAAAGACTTTTAAAAGACTTCGAAAGTATTTTCTATAAGATTAACTGGCACTTTACCTTCTTATCACATATATGAATGTCCCTTTGATCTCTTACCTGGAACTACATCTCCTCAAGGAAGAGCATTTCTACTGTCTGAGCCATAAAACCATGCAATGCAAAATTATATCCAGGAGAACTTAGCCAAAGAGTTAATTTCTCTACTTCTCTCACAGGAGCAAGATGTTTCTTCATTTGGAAGAAGGATGGTAGAATAAGGCCTTGTATTGACTGCAGATGTCTAAATAAGATTGCAGTTCCCAGACGGCACCCCATTCTTCTCATCACTCATTTGGGAGTTGTTCTCCCAAATCAAGAATGTCAAGGTCTTCTCCAAACTGGATTTAAGAGGAGCCTACAAGCTGTTGCACATCTGTAAAGATGATGAATGGAGGGTGGCGTTAAACACCAAGGATAGCCACTACGAATATCGATACAAAGATAAATAAATAGTGAAGCGCTTTAAATATATAAATACTAATATACCCAGTAAAAATAGCTAAAAATATATAAATATATAGATAATAAAAAATTATTAATCAAATGAATCAGTGAATTAATATAATCTCTCTTTAAAGTTAGTGCAAAATTGAGCTGCTTTCTCTTTTTATATACATATATTTATTGTTTGTTTGAGGTTTTTAATAGCATGGGGGGGGGGGGGGTTCTACATTTATTCTGAATAGCTCATGCCATTCGATTTAAGAAATGTTCTGCCCATTTTCCACAACTTTATTAACAACATTTCTTGTGGTCTAAAAGGTCGCTTTATGCTTGTGTACTTAAATGATATATTGATACATATTCTACCAGCCTCGAAATACATCAGGAGCATGTCTGTTCAGTTCTGGACTCACTCAATTTTTGTAAAGCCTGAAAAGCATTCATTCCACATCAAACAAGTACCTTTCTTGCACTACCTGAATTTCAACACCAGACGTACCATGGGTCTGGCTAAGATCTAAGCAATATTAGACTGGTTACCACCTTCAGACCTGAAGGCAGTTTTGAACTTTTATCAAAGTTCAATAACCTTCTATCGGAAGTTTATTAAAAACGTTGAAAAACAGAAGAAAAAGCAACTTTATAGTAGCATGAAACCCACTATATCATCTATAAGGTGTAGCTATATGTAGAACAAAGATATATACTGCACAAAAAAGAAAGGAAAACCTCATGTATCCTTATAACCTTTAGGCAGGCCGGACTGGCCATAGAGCACATTGGGCGTTTGCTGGTGGGCCGCTCTGCGCCACATGTCCTAATAACACGGCAAAATGTTTTCCCAGTCAGGGCAGCCTGATCATTGAGGCACTTGGGCACTGCCTGAGGGCCCAAGTCAATAGATGGCCCATGTCCTCCAATCCCCCACCTCCTCCCCCCCCTCTCCCACTGTGATCATTACACCTGCACATTCTGCTATACACAGAGGACATAGAAGAGTCCGGGGAGCCATGTCTGCTGAAGAGAATGTTCACCCTGCTGGGGCTGCTGCCGCCCAGGTGT